CAAAATTTATTATCTATTTACTTAAAATTAAATAATTGTATTATTTCAGTACATTCTAATTAACCTACATCTTTTATTCTATAACAGAGAAAAAACTTCTGGTAAAATTACCATAATGCATGGTAATCACATTTCTGTTTTAAAAAAACATAATTCTGTTAATGAAACCAAAATACACGGTATTCAAACCCTTCATTTAGTAATTCTCTGATCATATGGTAACGGTTTTCCGTAAGTTCTAGTTTTCAGAATTATAGTTCTTATTTCCAAACATTTTGCAAAAAATACTAAACTGAAAAGTTAGTTGGACCGAATAAATGGCTTTCAAGTCATGCTCTGAGGCATCATTTCATCGCATGTTATAAAACCTTATTTTATTGTTAATTTTATCAAAATTATTACCAAAGTGCTTCGGTAATACTTGTAGAGGTTTTTGGTGCACCATAGAGCCAAATACTCGATAAATTTTAACATATTCTCACAATTTTGACCATACTTTTTTTTCTCAGCGTAAGAATGGAATTCAAAAAAGCAACTTACTGTTGCACAAAACTTAGTTTTTAAAATAAAGCAACACAAATTTAAAAATGAAAAAATAATATAGTAAAAGCAAAAATAACTGAAATTATATGTAATATTTTGCAAAGATTAGTTTTTGTTTATTCTCATAAAATTTATAGCTATTTTAAACTTTTTAGCTCAAAATCAAACCTCATACTTCAACCGCATTTTGCAACATAAAATCAGCAAGCTATTTAACGTCCAAAAATGACTAGATTAAAATATCCTTTTAAATAATAGGAAATTACGTCTCAGAAAAAATTTTTATTCATATATAACAGAACTGCAATAATTCAGATCACTAAAATGTATGAACTAATTTATATGATGATGTTTCCAAAACCACATATTCAAAACTGATCAATTCCTAAAAACAAAATACTAACAACGTAGGATTTCAACGTAGGATTTACAACATTTAGTTTGTGACTAACTATATTAAATCTTTTAGCCTTTTTTTCCGCAGGTAATAAATTAAAGTACACCGAGGATTCATAAAGCTTAAGAAAAAGATCCCTTATATTGATTGGCATACATTCACTCCAAGAAATCGACCTTCAAATATAAGTCAAGGACATAGGTTTATCTTATTTGTAAGAAATTTAATATTATTATTATCATTTTTTGTTTCCTTTTTAAAACATTATTTATTCAATTAATCAATGCTTTTTATAGAGAAACATGAAGAGTGAACTTAATTATTTAAAAAATTTAAAACAAAGCAAGCTTAAAGTTTTGACTCTTTTAAGAGTTGAAAATTATAATAAAAATATTTTAAAAATCATTATTGCCATTTTTATAGCCTTATAATAGTTATTAAAACAAAAATAATATTTCTGTATAATTTCAAATTGTTATCGATTTTATTTTCTTTGAAAAAACTGTTGACACGTAAAAATTGTTAAATAAGTAAAAATTAAAAAATTTGGTAATCACTGCTATTCAAAGCTACTGGTGACTTTTTCTTAAATTTAAATTAAAAATGAAGAAATTAAAATAAAAATTAAAAATCATAGATTGCAGAAAATAAAAACTAAAATGTAAACAGCATTACTTTAAAATAAACTGAAAATTCTGCCAGCTTTTTTGTGACAAATAAATTAATTATATTTGCTTTGAGTATATAGTACAATGGGTATTATAGTACAGTATTTAGATGAAACAATGGTAGTAATTTATAGTTAAAATATTAAAAAACTTAAATTTTTTTCATCGAAAATACATATCTTGACTATAATCTAATCATCAGCATTTTTTAATTAAAATACTAAGATATTTGTTTAGCACTTTTTTTAAAAAAGTAAACAAGTTTAACATTTTTATCCAAACCATTCGCGCTATTGGTGAATAGTTACTTTTTACTATAATAACCTCAACTTTAATTTTCAATTACTTTTCAGGGATTTCTAATGCTAAAATTCCAGATACATCATTTGGCATAGTATAAATTCTTTACGAAAACATATATAATTCTATATTATCAAAAATTAATCATCTTAGCACGTTTTTTATCGAAAAAAACGTACATTTTGCTATTCATTTGGGTATTCTTTTATATAAAAAAATAAAAAAAACTTTTTCTCTTCAAGTCTGAAAAAAGATCTTACTGTTTAATAGCTTCCCCAACTCACGGCCAGCATTAAAAATAATGTCTCAAACCGCTGTAAAAGATTTTTAGAAAACAACTCTTTGATAATAATCTTAACATTCGTCTGAAAAACCGCCAAATATTCTTAAAATAAAACTGTTTAGAAAAAGAAAGTCTTAAAATTCCTACGCCAAATGTAAGTTTCATGCTTTTAATATACTTTCTTTCGAAGAAAAACAATAAGAGCTCTTTAAATATTTATAACTACCGTAAAATACCTTTTAGTGATGTGTTATTTTTATTTATTAATATCATAGAAAGCTTCATACCTCAAACAAAGAAAATGTATTAGCCGCACGCTAATTGCATTGTTTTAATTTTCATATTTCAGATTATTTTAGTATTATCTATATTTTAGCACAATATTAAAGAAAACTAATAACGGAAAATGTTAAAAAGGCTTTCCAATAAAACATGTGAAAATAAAATTTTAAAAATTAATTTAAAGTAATTTGTTCCATAAATTGTTTTTTAAACAAAAATTATGATAATGTGACTAGTAAACTTGGAAATTGTATAGTAAAGACTTACATTAAAGACTTAAGACATTATTCGATTAGCCCGATTGCGTGTTATTGAATAATTTCGTAAGTTAAGTTCATTTTTTTTACCTTGTAAAAACGCAATTTTATTAAAAATATTATCACAGTCAGTTTTTAAAGAAATATTTAGTTACAATCAAAGCAGCTTAAAAATTTAATAATTTAGTAAGCGTGGCTGAATAGAAATATTCTTGTCTACCAGGCATTTTAGCCATATTTAAACAAATTACTTCACATTATTTTATAACAAGTATTTCATAATAAATAAACTTCCTCTAATAAATAGAGTATTTAATTAATGCATAGTGTATGTTTCATATTCTCTTACATGCCCTCAACCTTTATTTGTATGTAAGAAAAAATATGGGATTCGGCATCAATGTATGTAACATAAAAATGAATATTTATCTATATTTTAATAAACTATCTTCATGCTATTCAATGACTTTCCGTTTCTTAATTGTTTAGAGAATGCTTATATATGTATTATGAGTTTGTTTTGTTGCAAGAATTCAAATTCATGTACATTTTGATAGTGTTTTCAAACATTTTTCTTGATTTGCAAAGCAAAATTATGCATTTTTACCTCGGAAATTTTTGTTAAGTGTATGAAAGAACTTTATAACTAACATTTCCATAGTATGAATAATTCGCAAGCATTAAAAACATGCAAATATTTCCTTTTAACACAGTCATAACATTATTACCAGTAAATAAATGAAACTGAAGCCTTAGAGACTTACTATTTTTGAGAAAAAAGACAAGCTTATAAAATTTTTCTTGCAGCAATCACCCTGTGATTTTGTTTATTTTAATCAAAATAAAGAAAGAAGAAAAGCGTTTCATGCATTTAACTACTAAAGTGCTATAAAATTAATCAATTGTTAAAACACATAATATAAAAGAAATAATGTTTACGCTCATGATATTCCAGTAAAAAGCTAGCTTTCATTAAAATTTTCAACAAGTACTTTTTCAAATCTTCTACTATTATTATTTTCGTAAGAGAACAAAATACCTTTCTGCAGTAATAAAGCAATTTCAAAAGAACTTGTTTCAAAAAATTAACAATTAACAAATAATTATGCTTTGCAGTAATATTTAGACAATATGTTTCATTAACATAAACTGCGTTTTTTGATGTTTGTAAAAATATAAATAATGTTACAAATGTTATCAGATATTAAAGTTTATCTAACAATATCTCCATATAATGTAATTAAAACAAAATGCTACTTGAATTCAAAATGCTACTAAATTTGATTTTTTTTTCTAATTGAATGTTTAAAAATATGAATTTTAACTAATTGATATAGGTTGAGACATCCATGACATATACCCAAAGGTATAACTATTAAAAATTAAATAAATAATTTCTTTGCGTTCAAATTTAGAACATTTGTAAACGCTTTTCTTCTCAAATAACTGAATTCCAAAATATATCATAAAATTCCACGAGATTAGTATGCTAACTCTTTTTGCTAAGATTATAGCAATGAAGATTTTTTTAATGGTAAAAAGTATTTGGAAATTACCAGTGAAAGGAGGTGCTAAAAATTGTAGCTCATGACTAATTTTTTAGTAAAATTGCTAAATTCAATCAGTTTTGTAACGTTAAACCTGAATATTTTTGGAAAATAAAAAAAGTTTCATTTGGACATAACATCAGAACAAAACATTCTTAATTTCTTCATTTCCTATCATATCCCTCTTAATATTTGAACCAGAAAAGTCCATTACGCATTGGTATTAGTCTGCAAAAGCTAAAAGGATTATGGAGGTATGTAATATGATTCTCACTTGTACAGATGTCCGCGCATTAAAATTTTATACAATAATTATAGATGAAACAATTTTCCATTTTTAGATAATATTAAAATAAAAATTACTGTCCCTAAACAATTTCATGAAAGCAAAACTCTGCCTCCTAATAATCGGCCCTGTTTCCAAGAAATATTATAGACCCCTGAGGGTGAATATATTTTAAATCATTCATTAAGTGACGAAACCAAACATAATTTCAGGTTAATTATAATCAAGTTCCGATTGTAAATAAAATATTATTTTTCATGATGCTAAAAAGGTATTTTATTCTCTTAAGCACTACTACAAATTACTGACCTCAATTGAATACTTTAATACAAATATCTATATATAATTTCTACTTTCAAACTAATCAAAAATCACCAATCAATCCCCCATCCCTCAAAAACGTACAAATTTGAAGGGTTGAAGTGAAAAGCACTCACCATAAATAATCCTCCATTGTCCATTCTTGAAAATTAACTCAAAGTGTCGATTTGGACTCAATACTTTAGTAGATTCCCTTCTTTCATAATGCTTGAAGGACTCACGAAATGATCCCTTTTCCACTCTCATGTTCACTATGGATGTTCTCCACATTTTAAGTGTTCTTTATACCCTCTCTGGCAAGTAGTCACCGAGAGAGGACATGGTCGTCCAACCAGAGTGAGGTAACCAGGTAGATGCTATCTTTATGGTTTAACAATGTTCTAATCAGTAACAATACTCAAACACTTTGCTGTGACTGAGTGCCCAGCGCGTGTCACTGTTTTATGCTTTGACGAAAACACAGCCTAAACCCGCAGGAAGGAAAGAAAAACTTATCAAACACATGTGAGAGTAAAAGTGTTTTATCGCTGCAAAATAATATTCCAGTTTATCTTATTGAAACAAAAATCTTTCGCCTTATTCCTCAAAAAAATCTTTAAAAAGATCGTTTATTTTTAACAATCAAAATGCAAAAATGGATTCGTTTCTTATGCTTTCAAATAATCCGGTTTCAATTCAAATCTGTATGCTTTCAACTAACCCAGTTTCAATTCAAATTTGTATGCTTTCTACTATACGGGTTTAAATTCATATCAGTATGATTGCTTAACTACGTTTGCATTCAAATTTCATTCCTTCTACGTAACCGGTTTTAACTGAAATTTGTATGACTTCAGCATTTCAACTAAGCAGTTGTAAATCAAATTTGCCGGTTTCAATTCAAACTTAAAAAAATTTAACTCAACTCATTACAATTAAAATTTTCCTACTTTCAGCCTAACGGGTTTTATTCATAAATGAATGTTTAAAACTTACCCAAATTTAGTTCAAATTTGTGGGCTTTCAAATAATTCAGTTTCAATTCAAATTCATTTTCTTACAACCAAATATGTTTCGATTCGATTCTTTATGTTTTCAACTAAACCGGATTTAATTTGAAATTTTATAACTTTTTAAATGATTCCATACATATTTGTGAGATTTTTATACTTAAAAAAACTAAATCTGAAGTCATGAGCTAATGAGAACTTGGCTACAGTTGTTAAATAAATAAAAACGGTAAACAACTGTTTGTTTTGGTAAAAATTGAAATTATAAACAAAATATTGTGCTTAAAATAAAGAAAATATATTGCAGCTAGCTAAGCAATTAACTGAAAGTAGCAGCTACTTTATTGCTCTTGATACATGCTAAAGATTCAGCTAGACTACTGCTGAGCAAATTAAAATGCGCATTAAGAAATTATTTCGAGTTGCATGTTGTAGCTTTTGAATATTAAAGTTTTTCAAAGGCAGATACACAACTAAAATACTTCTAGTGTGTGCTTTTCGTCTATTAATAATTGTTAAAAAAAAAATTTTTTTTTTGTTTATTTAAACAATATTTATACTCATAAAATTTTCTGAAAAATGCTGTATTTTCATTGTGCCATCTTCTTAAGTTATAACATTGAAACAATATCCTTTCAAAATACCGTTTTGTTTTAATGTTTTTGCAGGACTTATAAATAAACCTTCAACTGCTCTGAAATTCTGCATTGTTTTATTACAGGAATGTCCAAACAATTTGTTTCTAATTTAAAACAATATTAAAAACAAATAGTGACCTCAAATTTCTTCATCGTGAAAACTATTTACATTGTTGAAATGTAGATTTTTTAATCAAACATACAATTAAAAAAAATTACTTAGCTTTTGCTGATTATCTTAAACTTATTCATAGATTACATTGCAATGTTAAATTTGAAAATTAATGATTAAAAATGAATATATTTATTTGTTACTGTTTTCATATGACAAAATCTTTATTGCTCATTGGTATAATTGTTATTTTATTTTCATTTTTAGCTATACTTAGATTAATGTTTATTGTTAATATTTAAACTAAATATATAACTACGCTATTTATTAAACGTATTCCATTTTTTAATCATGAAAGAATCTGATTATCTTTATGCATGAAGTTATTTTTTAATAAATTATTTTTAGTAGTAAATGATCTAATCTTTTACAACGGTTCGACTCAAAGTTAACCCAAAGTTCTCTAAAATAACTAAGTATCTCAGTATCTTCTACATCTTTGAGTGGAACAGGTGGGCCATAAAGATGAAAGAAGAATTACTCCTGCAAAAAAAAAAGTTCCTCGAAATGATGAATATATTCATAAAAGCGATCTTCTTCAAGGTTAAACTCATTCTTGGGTTAGTGCCATAGTTCGAGAGAAGAAAATTTTTCGAAATTGCTTTAGAATTTCGGAAAGAAATGTATACGATGTTTAGATATAGAAAAAAAATCACGCTGAGATAAGCGTTGATATTGAAGTTCTGAGTGCTCTCTCTCATGTGCAGGACAGCTTTGAACGGGTCGCAAAGTTGCAGGCAACTTTTTCTTGTTGAGGGGTACTAAAACTGGGGGATCGATCGGAGGGGGTCAACCAAAAGAAGTAACTCACCGTAAGCGATCCTCCACTCTCCCTTCCTGTAAATCCACTGAAAGTGACGTACAGGTTTCTTAGCGGATTCCACACTTCCGTATCGTCTGAGGGATCCTCGAAAAGATCCCCTCACCCTGCGGACGCTCATGTCGGTAGCACATGTACCCTCACCTTACGACTAACTCTACCGAGTGACGGATGCAAAGATCGGGATCTTCATCTTCACCCGATGCTCGAGTCACCGCATCTAGAGAAGGATGCCAGTGACTATCGGCCGTCCCGCCTCAGAACTATACGTGACTCGCGCATCGATTTGAGTGTTGAGCGCGCAGATGCTCGTCTGGAGGGTGGAAGGCTCCCTTAACATTTTACAAACTACCACTACTTTTGTAGCCCAAGATGTTTCCGACCCTCATGATTAGGGAGCGCGCTTTATTTGAAAATATTCTTTAAACATGACCCACACCTAAATAATCTAAATAGCTAAAGATTTCTTTCTAACTCATTCAATCAAATTATTTAGATTTCATTTCATTTGTTTTTGACTAATTGTCGAGAAAATAAAAATTCACTACTGTAAAAGTTATTTTTCTCAAAAGAAATATTCATTTTATTTAAAAATTTACTTATAAACGTGATAGTTGTCCCAACTAAATATTAGAAAAGCATGAACTACTTAATAATTTTATTGGGAATTTTAATTTGATGATAAAGTTTTATAAACCATTTAATAATTTACAAGTTTAAAGCAACATACTACTTTCAGTTTGTTTTTATGCAAAACGGCGCGCATTACATAGAAAAAATTAGATATTTCTGTGAATTGTGTGTTAGCAAGTAAAAATTTAGAAAATTGCAATGTATCTCTATAGAAACAATGCTAAGGATCAGTTTGATGTAAAATTTTCATCGTTGAAAAAATGTAACTACAGTTGAACTCGTTTATAACGAGCATAAAGGGACCGTAACATTGTACTCGTTAAATCCGAGTGCTCGTAATAAACGGGTCCTTACGGCAGGCGTGCAACCAGAAGAGGGGGGGGGGCTTTGGAGGTCAAATGATTGAGTTTACTTAAAATTTAATTACTACTTACTTACTTTATTTACATTAATTAATTTAATCAAATACTTTTCTTGCTTAATAAATTAATTCTTACTTACTAAATTTAATTAAATGCTTTTATCGGTCATGACCGATAAGGCACGAAATCGATACGCCTCCGCCTACTCTCACGTGACTTTTCCCATGCTTCAGATTAGAGCGATAAGGGCAATTAAGTTTCAGTTCGCGGTTTTTTTGATTTCGCGCGCATTTCTTATAATTTTGAAAAAAAGATAAGACTAGAAAGATGAGAAAAAAGATTGCAAGACAGAAAAATATTGCTCGCTAAAACCGGGTCTTTCTCGTTAAAAGCGACTTCTGTTCCATAGACTTAACATTGATCCAACCAAATATTCTCGTTTCCCTCGGTAAATCCGAGTTCTCGTTAAATCCGAGCTCGTTATAAGCGAGTTCGACTGTAATAACTATAATACCCGAAGTCCCCCTCTTAAAGTACTACAGTTTTAATGTTCCACATTATTTTTAATTGTCGAAGAAATAAAAATTCTCGAAATGTTGAAATTATTCTCTAAAGAAAATATTCATTTCATTTCAAAATTTACTTATAAAAGAGATATATGTCCTATAATGGTATCAAAATATCAGAGAAACATGAACCCCTTAATAATTTATGTGTAAATTTTATTTAAATGATAAAGTTTAATAAAGCATTTAATAATTGAAACTGTTGAAGTAACATAATGATTTACAGACTGTTTTTGGTGAATACGGCATTCTTTCAATAAAAGAAAAAAGATGTTTCTGTGAATTTGTCGTAAAAAGTAGAAATTTAGAAACTTGCTATGTATCTACACAGAAACAATGCTAAGGGTCAGTTTAATATAAAATTGCCAGCGTTGGAAAAAAATTTGAATATAACAATAATGTCTTGAGTTTCCCACTTAAAGTTCTAGGGATATATTTAATATTTTGCATCATTTTTAAGAGTAAAATCAGAATTATACTCATAAGAAATAAAATAATACTATTTTCGGAATTTTCATCAAAATTTTTCACTGGGTCAACAAAAATGTGGTCTTTATAATATAATAAACAATCTTTCACTAAAATGAAAATGAAAATATATGGCATACTTATAATATGAAGTACAAGAAAGTATGAGTATTTTTCAATTTAGAGAATAAATTATTCATCCAAAAACTACTATTTAAAATGTCAGGTTTTGTTAAAATTAAATGTTCGATAAGTCTTATCTTTTAACAATAAATTCCGTTTAATTATTTATTCATTGCTAAACTTATTTTAAAAAAGTGAAACTGTTTTAAATCGTGAAGCATTCAACAATTAACCCATAGAAAATCCTACAAAAATATAAACTGAGATTGGCAGATTATTAAAAACGACCTTCATGATGTCAGTCATGGATTTAAGGTAGACTGTTTTCTTGACCTATTGCAATTTAGGATGCTTTTTGTAAGAATATAAGGAGTTTTTCGTAGTTTTATTATCCTTTATATAACTTCGAAATACTTAAAAACTTCAGATTTGCAATAAATAATTTTAAAGTTTTCTGACTTTTATTTAAAAGAACATTTTTTTACCTATACAAATTTTTTTAAAGTCTTCCTTCGTTGCTTTTAACCCGGATCACCATTCAATTTCCTTTTTTCTTAAATCTAAGAGTCTCTGCCCTTATTTTACGCATATGAATAAACAAAAAATTTCATCTTTAATAAACGTTATACCAAGAACAGGTTAAGTACCTCTTTTTTACTTTTACTTGCATCACTTCAAAGTATTTAAGCACTTTAAATTTGCAATATATGATTTTAAAACTTCCTGAATTATACTTAAAGGAACATTTTACCTATGCTACTATATTTAGTTTTCCGGGGTTTATTTTCTCCTGGTTACCTACCATGATTTTGTTATAAGTCTTAGAGCCCCTGCCCTTATTTTACGCATATGGATTAAAATTAAATATAAAATTTCATCTTTAATAAACATCTTAAGAGAAATAAATTATAAGAAATTTATTTTTTAATTATAATGAGTTGTGTATGTTTAGTTTCCGCATACGTTGCTTACAAATTGTACGCCATGGCAGCATATTCTTCCGGATTTTCGGGAAGATTTTATTTTTGCATTAAAAGTGATGCCAAAACTTGTGCATTTTTATTTCATTCTTCAATTTAAATATTTAATTCATAATGATTTTAACAACAATTAGATATGAAAAAATTATAATATATATATATATATATATATACTTTATATATATACACTTTTCTTTAATTTAAACTTTACTCGTAATGAAAAAAAAGCATTATAATTTTTATTGTATCATTTCTAATATTTGACGGCACACTTTTAGAATTTGGCGGCACACAAAAGTGCCGCAGCACAGTGGTTGAGAATCACTG